GTCTATTTTGATTCAGATATTGATTTTTTGGTCTGTAAGTTGCAAGTTGAACACTTGTTTAGTTTGCCATCTTTGGGCCAAAAATATACGTTAAGGCACCATTTTGATGAACCAGAATCCAGCCATATAAGCATACAAGATTCATGAACAAGGGTTCAATGTATCTGTGCGATTCGCCTATGATGCATCAAATACACCTTTTTTTCTATTCAAATGATAATAAAATAGAAAACAATAGTATGGATGATATAACCTTACAATTTATTGGTTTTTACAACTGAAATGAACCTTCTCTCCTAAGCAATTACAAATGGTGCATTACTTGCTGCAATTTATATTATATGCAAAAGTGTACATAAAAACACAATAACAAAAGATAATTATTCAACTATATATTTGTCTCTCAAAATCAATTCTTCATCTACTACTTCTCCTTTGAAATACCTGCTTAGGATCCATCACCTCGCTGCCTGAATTGGCTTCTCCTATCTTTTTTTTGCCTTTCTCAGACTCTCCTCTCACCATCTTGGCCTCCAACCTCTTCTGAATATCTCTTTCAATTGTTTCAGGTACCCTGCTCTTTACCCCCTCATGTTGCAGCTTATTGTTGCACTCTTGTTTTGCTTCGGCTTCGGCTGGTGCCTGTCTCACTCTGGTTGTTAACTCCGGTTTATGAGTCGTGGTCCTGGAACCACTCTCTTGTTCAGAAAACAAGACTTGGACCACCGTTCTCAATGGTAGCCTCTCGTTCTTTACCGCATGTGCGCGTACCTCTGGGGACAGTTTCTGGCAGTCTAGCATTCTGCATAGCCTTTTCTTTTCTGCTTTACTAACATCAGGGTGCTCCTGCTTAAATCAAATGCATTAATATGTTTATATCTATCAATATCCATAACATGCAGAAATGAGCAACTGGGAGATGATTAGGGAATTGGTGTCACCTTGAGATAAATGTTAATGGACTTATAAAGGCCATCATGATCTTCCATGGCAACATCCGGCAATGCTTCAGCTAGAGAAACTAGTTTGGATATCGGCATGTTGACATCCCTTGCAACAACTTGGAGATATGAATCGATAAGCTTCCCCGTCTTTCTAATTGATCTAAGCAAGTGGCCATTTTCTGCAGGTGCAGGGGATTGTCTTCCCCATAGTGCCAAATAACTGTCTAATACTGCTGCAACCAAGTCAATATCATGAAAGTGCTGATCGGTAGGCAACTGCGAAGGAAATAGTATATCTTTTAGTGTCGCCTCTTCGAATTGCAGACCGGCTTTCCTTATCAGTTCAGTCTTTGTCACTGGGGACGCTCCTAGATAATTTGCAATGCTAAGAAGCTTTAACAGGAAGCCTATTGAAACCGAGCCTCGATCGGCAGGAATCATGCTCACAATGGATTCAATAATTCGCCTACTTTTTCCCTTGGATTCTTCAGTCCGAGACCCTGAACTATGGGGAGGTCTAGACTTTGTAGTGTCCGGTAGCCAACGACAGGCATACACATGCAAAGCTTCACCAATGAGCTGTGGTGGTGGGATATATGTTGATCTTACAGCAGTGATTATGCATCGAAAGAGGTCTATGTCAAGATCCGATATGTCTTCCGTCCACCAATCTTTCGGGACAGACTGGTGTTGTTTTTTATTGTACCCTAGTCTAGTATAAGTGTAGGACCATGAAACCTGCAGGGAGTCACCTCAATTAATCTAATGTATGTTTTCTGCACAAAATATGCAAGCAGTAAAATAGATGTAAAAAACCTTAGCTGTGGGTGTGAGGATTTTCTCTACAATAGAATCAATACACCTTCTAATGATTCCAAGGTTCTCTGACCACTCCGGTAACTTAATCGTAGTCTGAAGCGTGTTGATTGCGTCTTTCCAGCCTTCAAGAATGCATGAATTGAAGAAAGCTTCTAGTTTCAGAACAAAATTTCCCTTCTCAATGGATTCAGTCATTCTGAGGAACTTAGCAGCACAAAATGCAGGCACAAAGTTATAGGCGCTGAGATTGATTGTTATCCCATAGCAAAACTTAGCACAGAGTTCGAAAGCATCTTCACCCCCTGGAACATCGTGAAGGTCTATAGTAACAATTTCAGAGTCATCAGAATCCGAGCAGAGCCATTGTAGAAGGCCACACTTCGGAACAAGTGGAACCTGCAACTAAGAATAGCACCATTAATTAAGAGGCTAAGTTATCTACCAACCCCAAAATCTCTAGTTTTCTTCCCCAAAATGCTGAATCTACAAGCCTAAACATGATGCATATTCCGGAAACCATTAGAATAAGGCAAGAATTCATGATTTGTACTATGAACTCAATGAAGTATACCTTATGCAGAAGAAAACAAACGTTGTTAATCCTTATTGTAAGATCACTTGGTATGTCTGAAATCACAGTCCTGGTAGCCTCTTCTGTGTAGAAGGTGTCTGGCTTTGTCCCAATTTTCATAAACTTCATTTTTTTTCCCTTGTGATCAAATTTTCCCTTTGCAACACTAACATTTGATTGAAAGACAATTCCTTGAAAGATTTCAAGATCTGCTTCATAAAACGCAAAAAATGAAATAGCTCAAAATCATATGCTTCCATTACACAAACAACAGACAGCAAAACCCACAGTCGGCAACACGTGCATATGCATACTCTGACAAATATCCGATTTCAACCAAAAATATCTCATGTTTTAGTAGACTGACGTGTGATATTGTTGTTCTCAGAGTAGGCGTGATGAAATGATCTTAATCGGTTTAGGATATTACAAGTCTTAATGATGATTTTTTTTTTGAAAATTGTCTTAATGATGAAAATTAATCGTATAGTATGAGTTATTCTCTCTTTATACTTTGGAAAGGATACTACAGAATAAGTGGCTGAGGTTTGCTTTCGTAGTTGTCATTGAGTGCCTTGAGACATAAATGCCAACCCAAAATGAATATCCCAACAACTTGGTTGAAAGACACTTAATCCAACATCATCATCCTTTTTAAATCCAATATACATCCATATTCGACAATCATTCAAGTAGGAGAAGAAAAAAGAGGTTGTGGTGTGGTTAGCCTAAAAGGAAAATGAAACCCACAACTGTTTCCAAAAGGCTAAGCTCACTGCTTTACCATATGAAAACTAAGATTCCATTACTATAGGCTTTATTCATGGGCAGGCATTTGCTCAAATGGCTCCCAAAGTTTCCGATAAAACACATGATGCGGTTGTTAGCTATATATTAGCCTATGAATATCTGCAGTCTTTTCTAAAACTCATAAAGATCTGCTCAATACAACCCCAGAAATTTAAAAAAAAAGGTTTTTACCCTTTACTTCTTGTCCTTTTTCCCACTCAGATTTTTTCATTTTTTTTCCAAAATAAAAGTAAAAAAGAGAATTAAAAAAAGAAAGACATACCCTTAATAATGTGCTTGTTGAGCTGTGCACGTATGGCAGCAGCTTGCTGTTATCAACTTAGATGCCAAAAGCTGCAATTATACTAATATTAACCCCAGCTGATCCGCCCAGAGCAGAAGAATAAAGAAAAGAATCAATACTTTCTGTATATATGTGTGAAAAGAGAGAGGGGATGATCATAATAAGCTAGAAGCTAACAAGTTTACATCACCTGACATGTAATATGATATGATGATGAGACATGAAAGGGATGTCTGAATTGCTTCCATGCATGTGTAATGGGGATGCCTATGGGTTATGGGTTTGAGTTAAGAGTAAACAAGAGAGACACGTAACACCAAGTAAAGGGGAAATGGGTGTCCCCCAAATGTCTCACCAACAAGACAGGGAAAAAGAAAGTGGTTCGTTGGGATTAGTCAACATAGTAATGTATCATCAAAGGTGTGCTCACCATCATGACTTCCTACGAATCGAATCCCAAAAGATATTAAGACGAAGTGCATTTAAAAAAAAAAAAAAAAGAAGAAGAAAAGGAGTCGAAAAAGAGGAAAAAGGGAAGAGGGTTGATATATTGGTGCTCCATGATTGAACATAATACATGCAACGCAAGAGGGAAGTGGGCAAAGGAAAAAAAAGATCCGGTGTGGGTAGCTCATGATGCTACCCCCCACTACGTACCTATATTCTCCTTCTTGGGCTGATTTGCCTGTTGGTTGTTTCGCAGGCCGAATGCAGACATCTTTACACTCCCAGTCCTCTCTGTCCCTTGGTTTCTCTCTTTCTCTTTTTCACGTTTATAAATTTTCATTATTAAGCCAACGACCTGACCCTTTGATTCCTTTTTCTAGTAAATACATATATAATGTGTGCTTGCTTATGCTTTTGGTTTGTATAAATAGACAGGTTAACTTAATCAGAATCGTTGATTGTTTAACAAATTAATAATTAAACCCCTAGCTCTTTCTGTTTCTAAAAGCTTCATTTTGGTACCAACTTAATCCCTAAATATCAATAATTTTGTTTATATATATATATGCGTGTTCATTTGTAAACAAGAATAAAATACATTCGAGATCCTCTAATTATGAGTTTACTAATAAATATGTTGTCCAATCAAAATATTATTACAAACAAATCCCTCTATTGTCTCAAAATTTATATATTCTAGTAATTTGATCATAACCTAAAATTGTTCAATAAATTTAACATTTCATATATAAAATTCTATCAATGTAATCTTTTTTTTCAGATATTGTTAAACCAATGAACTCATCCAATCAAAATAGCAGTTGGATAACTGCATTATTTTTCATAAACTAATAATAAGTTAATGTTAAGCTGTTAAAGTAACAATAAACTAATATATAACATTCTCGAAAGAAGAATAAATAATTTAGTAGAAGCACAAAGACTAAAATGATGGAATTTTAAAATACGAAAGGTAAATTTATTTAATTATTTTATATTAGGACCAAATTTGAGAACTACCGAACTAGGAACTCCATTGTACTTAAAAAGAAAACAGATGGTTGCACGTTGCTATTAAGAACATCAATAAATATCAGTATACCGTGCGATCATGAGATGAAGTTTAATCAAATATGAATGTTGTTTTTGCAGTTAAATTATGATTACATAGCAGTTTGTCAAGAAACAACAGCTGCTCTTCACAATTCCAGTCAGAGTACAACAGAAATACAGTTTGAGGGGATTCCTGAAAATGGCGACAAAGAATATGTTCATCTAGTCTAGAAATGGTAAAAGGAGCCACAACAGACCTCTAAATGAAATAAACCTTTGGCAGGGGATTTGGTCTCTACAACCATCAGACAGAAGCTGCCGGGTTCCGAAACCAAGTCAAGCCAAAGAACTTGCCTGGTGCGCGCCCACGGCCACCACATTCACTTCCAAGCAAAATTTGGGGTTTACTTGATCGAGATACTTGCCCTGATTGCCCCTATAGTGCAAATCCGGATAGATCTCAAACTAGAAAGAATGAACAAATAGACTACAGCAACTTCCCGAAGGCGATGTCTAAGATTATCTGTGAACCCTTTCTATGCTAAAATCTAAAAAGCTCCTTCAAGCGTCCTTCTAGGTTTGAGAGGATGTTTTTGGCAATCCTTTTCTGATTCTTTGTGCTTTTCAACCATGCAACTCCAGCTAACACTCGCACCTGACATCCATTTGCTTTTAAATCCTCGATCTGGTATCTAACGTGAAGCTGCAAAAAGTAAAAAGTTTAAAACTCAAAGTGACCGATACTAAGGAAGATTTAGAATAATTTCTAAATCAGGCCCAAGGTAAGCTTAAGCTTCAGAAGAAGGATGCAATTAAGAAAAAGCTCTTGGTTGGGTTGCATTCGTACATTGTAATAGTCACCAAGTGGAACAGCATGAAGAGTCATAACTTCTTCAATAAGCCAACCCTTCATATCGGGAAGTGGGGATTTCTGCTGAGTACTAGTCACCTCTCCTCTAAATCGGGACACACGCTTATCAAATCTGTAATAAATTTGCCGCTCGTATACATCAGCACCTTCTGAATCCCATTGACTACAAGACAAGTTCAGGCAACCAGCTCTCTCCATAGCTTTACGATCTGTTTCACCACCACTGAATATCTCCATGACTGTACTAATCTGAATCACCAACAAAGTAACTATGATCAGATACAGACAAAATACATCTAAAATACATGCATCAATGTAGTACATTTAGATGTGAAGAATCTCTAATCATAAAGCTATATTGAGGGAACTGGAAGTACCTTACACACAAAATGGGTATTAAAAAAATGTTCTTAACAGGATGCATGCAACAGAAAAACTAGTTCCTAGACCAAGGGAGAGAGAGAAGGGGAACTTACAGGAACAGTAAGTGTAACTGAAAAAATCTCAGACATGCTGACATCCTCAACGCCTAAGAAGGATCCACTCTCTTCATTTTGGAGACATTTGGTTTCAGACTCTTCTTCAAATATTCGCACTTTCTGCTCTGGGCTCAAGGACCTGGCTTTCCACAGGGCCATGATTGTCCTAGTCAACAAAAATATTTGATAATCAATAAAAGACATTTTACCGTTCTTTCCCCCTTCCTAGACATTTTCGACAACAAATATTTTCCTATCCTCTTTTTTCTCATCATAGATCCTTAATACTTAGGACCAAGGATTTGAATAGTAGTTGCAAAGCAACGTTACGTCCTTCTGCATTTTCAGCTGTCTCCTCCGATATGTAGTATCAATATTTACTGCAATTAACTACAATAGAATATGATGCATCGTAATTGCAAATTTGCAATAAACGCATCGTAATGGAAAATGAATTCATGAATGCAGTTTAAATCCCCATTAGGGACTAGTTAAATCATTTGAAAGCCAACTAACGATGATTGATATAACTACCTATGAGCTACATTGAAAGATACAAAAGACTGGAAATGGAACTTCAGCCTTCCTTCGCCATCTTGTGTCCTTGCACCATGTCTCGCATCCATCCCTCTTCCGAGACGGAGAGTTATTACGATAATTGGACTGCCCATTGATGCCAACGTAGGAGGAGAAACTAGAATTCCGTCGATGTCTTCCCAAAGGAAGAAGAACTTTGTCTTGTGCCCAAATATGTTAGCATGAAACCCAATAATTCTTGCTGATAGAAACAGGCGGCCCTGCATAGATGCAACTGCAGATTAACAGAAAGAGACAAATGCATTATATATATACACATACATATTTGAATGTAATGCAATATAGTAATTACTCGGAGAAAACATCACACAGTAAGTGTGCTTTACAAAAGATTATATAACCCGACAAACAGAACCTGAAGAGGCATTTTCCTTTTCAGGTGACAGGTAAAGTCATTGATGAGAAATTCTTCTGGTGGAAGCCCATAGAGTTTTTGAAAGGCTAAATTCGTTTGAGGAGACCTCAGATTTATCTGCAAATATATTTTCAGATTGATTGCAAGTAAATAACGATAACGAACATTAATATTTTATTTGTGACCAATGTGAAACTAAAAAGAAGAATAGCCATCTATGTACCTTCTTCCCCACTTCTTTCTCCATCTTACTCAAGTACTCTTTAACCACGTATCCACCTTTTGTGTTGTTCAAGAAAATTCTCAAGTGCAGTTTAGACTGACATGCCATAGCCAACTTACCTTGCAGAGGAATCCACACATCAGCTAGATCTGCTATGTTAGTTTTTAAAAAATTAACCTCGGCCTGTCCCAAAGATGTAGCATCATCGAAAGGTCCATCAAAATCAAATACTTCAACATCCAGTACGGAAGGAGGCTCTTCCATTGCATCAAATTCAAATCTTTCTGCAAAGATCAGAGGAGTTTATAAACAATTGATTGCAAGTGAGATTTAAATAATTCTTGGACAAGTTTTGATCTAAAGAGACTGTTAAAATCATTAATAAAGAGTATGCTAGTGCAAAACAGGCAAACTTGAATTCAGAAACACAAAGTAACAATCTAAATTCACCATTCCACTGGGGACTAGATTTCTGGAACTTGATTGAGCTGGTTCTACTTTTCCCATTGCAAGTGAACACCACATATGGGTCACAGAGCCCACTTGAATCTACAGCTGCTAAATTGCTTCCCTCGATCAAGGCAACTGTTAGTAACCATCCATCTCCTTGTGCTTTCACTCCATGATCACTTCCTATAGTTGTAGAGAAATAAGAAAATGGTAATCAAAGGCTGTAAAACATGAAATCAAACATAGCAATTGGCAACAATTTTTGCTAGGAGCAGAGTTCTAATTAGACGTAAATATTACCTTTTTGAGCTCTAGCCTGCATGAAGCGTGAGATTAACTGCATCACCCTTTCACCTTGAAGAATCAGAACACCACACACAATGAATTCACCAATTGAATCGGGTAAGTCAAGCCCAACAAACTCTAGTCCTTGAATTGTACCAGGTGAAGCCAGCCAGATATGAACTATTACATACAATGCCATAAAAATTGTGGAAGCCGTGGTAAAATTAGCAAAGTATTGGACTGCCAATTTCCTACCTGACACGGGTTCAGCTTGTAATGATCCCAAAATCTGTTCTTTGTTTAACCCAATATCTTTTGATTCAACTGGTTTAATGGACTGAGCTAGTAAAGTAGTGAAATGCTCAAAGCCTTCCTTTAGACCCTGTCGAGCTCCATTTTCTATCATACTTTTCATCATCGTGCTCTGTATGAAGTTCATTCGCCAAGAAATAACCAAATGTGAAGACTGTTCTCCAGACGGAAGCTCAGGTCCAGGAGTGATACAATACAGCAATTCAGTTTTGAAGGTGCTCCCATACGGAACATCGGGAGTGCTCACAACTGCTAGAACAGCAAAAGACTTCCCATCAGCTCTTAGATACATTTGCTCCTCGGTGGCTTTTGTAGCCTTAATAAATTTGGTTGCTGCCTTGATGTAACAATAAACTCTTTTCAAGCTGGGATCACCATTGTCAAATTTCCAAGGCCCGAACTGTAGATCTGTTGATCCCTGCGCCTCTGCTAATGACGTAGGGAAACTGGAATCAGGTGAAAAAAGTCGAGAGTTTAGCTCTAATGGTGAGATCACATATGATTCATCCACAAGGATTCCTCCAGGTAAATTGCTAGGCATTTCACTCCCCTGATCCCTAGATTCCATTGTTTTCATTGCTTCCTCAAATGAAACAGAGGATGACTGAGCCTCAGACTTGTCGTCAAAAGCATCAGCCTTTAAATGTTCAGGCATCTCCTTCGAATCAGTAGTGTTAGTGGAGGTAGTCACAACAACGTCGGAATTTTTATTAAAGATTTGAGCAATTCGACCTGCTAGGGATTTTTGTGATAATGATATTGATCTTTCTTGTTTGAAAGACACACCATCTTCTTCTCTTAAAGGAGGAGCAATTCGAGCTGGTAGGGATTTTTGTGTTAATGATATTGATGATTTCCTTTCCTTGGAAGACATAATATTTCCTTTTCTCAAAGGAGAAGTGTAGTTTGATGATGATGCATCATCATCACTGTTACAACTCATTTCCTTGGAAGAATCATTTTGACGAAAATAGATATTTAGAAGTATTTCACCTGTACCCAAAACAGCAGAGAAACCCCAGTTGGGATATGGCAAGTAACAAGAAATTCTAGCACAGGAGATATGAATGAAGAACAGGAAAAAGGGGAGGAACATACCCAAATCCTTGTTCTTGGGTTTTTTGTTCCTGGGTTTGAGGGGATACCAAGCAGAGCCGAGAGAGTTTTGGGGAGCTTCAAAAACCCGGGAAACAGGGAGTTTAAGGTGGCCAACGAAATCATCATTGAAGAGCTTATCCTCGTCCAACACAGAAACGAGAAGCTTCCCCTTCAAATCCTCCATCTTGAAAATGAATTCCTCACCCCAACTTGGGTTCAACGACTTCTTCACCACTTTGGTCTTGTACCTCTGTTTTCCTAGCTGAAGCTTCACGTACGGATCACTGAAGCCGTTTAAATCCATTGCCGGTATGTTTCTTGCTTCAATGACTTCCACCACCAGCCTCATTTTTTGTTTTATTCGAGGGATATCAAAGATGATCCAATTTGCCAATACTCCTCAACCCAATCCTATTCAAAGATCAAACCTTGGCTTTGATAATGAATCCACCCCCAGCTTCCGCCATTGATACAGGCAACAACACCCAATAAACAACAATAGCAGCCCCCATTTTTACATTTTCTTCTAATTATTTAATTTCTCCTTCTTCCATTTCTGGGAAAACGAAAGAGACAAAATCCCCAATCGTTAAAATTCAAATCCAACTCAAAAGTATTAACAATTTGTCAATGACCCTCTGCGATAAGCACTGATAAATAAACAAACAAACAAAACAGGTTTGAGTTTTTTTGTTTAAATAAAAAATACAGAAAAGCGTGGATTAAATCTATATATTCTTCAAAGATGCAAAAGAATTATGTTAAAACGGGACAACGATGAGATCATCCATGAAAGCAACGTTAGAAATAAAGGGATTTTTCTTTTAATTATTTGTTTATTGTTTTATTTTGTTCAACAGAGAAAGAAGGGAGACTTTGAACCTGTTCAAAACTGAAAATGGTATTTGAACGTTTGAGGTTTGACTTTTGTAAAGAATTTGTTCAAATTAGAATATGAGTTTTGGATAAAAATATCAATTTCATGGGGTTTTTTTAAGAAAAATTTAAATTAAGCATTCATCCCCTTTCTAATTATACAATAGTTTCAATATTTTACAAGTTATTAATATGAAAAGTTATACCACGCTCGGCGACCACCAATAAACATTATTAACGATGAACACTATTAATTTAATTTATAAAAATTTAAAATTTTAAAGCACTCAACGTATAATTATAAATTAGTTAAAAAATTAAAAGTAAATTATTTAAAATAAAAGGTAAACAATACCAAAAGCCACCTAATTATTGTTCATTTTCATTTTGACCACCATTTTTGAAGTTTTATCAATCAGATCACTCAATTATCTAAATGTATTCAATTAAGTCACTTCCGTTAATATTTAACAGAGAAGCTCATGTGACAGTAAAAATATTTGGTATAATTACACATTTGGTCATTGTTACTTATATATTCTATCAATTTAGTCATAATTTTAATGAGTTAAAATTAAATATTATATAAAATCATTAGATATATTTATAATTTTATTTTTTTATAAAAGTATTTTGGATATTTAGTCACCTAATTATTCATGTGGTTTCGTTTTAGTCACCAAACTATTTGTTTTTTTAAATCATCACTAACATTATGTTTTTATTTTCACTTTGATAAACAATCGTTAAAAAATTAACGGTGATGTTAACATGTCCCCATAAAATAATTTCACATCATCATTGAAAAAATAAAAAAATGTCAAGTCAATAGTTCTGTTAATTTTTAACAGTAGATGATCAAAATGAAATCAAAACGAACATTAATGAAGATTTTGAAAAACATATAATTAGATAACCTAACAAAACCAAAGTGATATTTAAGTGAATAAATACATAATTAATCTTTTTAGTTGAGAAACTTTCTCTACCTGTGATAAGAAAAAGCTTTTAAAATTCATATTAATTTGGAGTAAGTACAAGATGATATATGTTCTAAGATAATTCTCAACCGTTTGATCGCATCCCAGAATCCAGCAAAATTAAATAATTTATAATGAGAACTTTTTATTATTATTATTATTATATACTTCCTTTTTTTATTATTATCATAATCCATTCTTTTGTGACGATATAATTTCTTGAGTAAACTACACAAATGATCACATAACTATGGGACAGGTCATGAAATGACGACCATTTTCAAATTTATTTTAATATGACCATTGCATTATTTAAATGCTTTCAATATAGCCACCTGTCGTTAACACTAAACGGAAGTGTCTACGTGGCAATTAACGAAATTGGTACAATTAGGGCACGTGTCCTTGTAAAGTTATGTATTTACAGCGCTAGAACCCTGCTTTGTTTTCTTCCATTTTGGTCACTACTTGTGTATGATTTGTTTCCTTGGATTTTCATTTAATGCAATTTGATCCTGATTCTGTTTTTAATTTGTCTAATGCCTTAATTTGAGAATTAAATTTAAAATCTTTTATTATAGTCATGTATTAAATTTATAGATTAAATCCCCTAGATTCTAGAATTGATCAATTTGATCACCAAGATTAACTTTAATTCTTATTTTTTTTAATTAGGTTCTAATTTCAATTTGATTTAATAAATGTATTTCTCCAATCACATTGCGACACGTGTCACAATCTAATTAGATGACTTTTTTAATTTTAATTTAATAAATTTTCAATCCAATCAAAAGGTGACACGTGTCACATTTAGAATTGAAGTAAAAATAAATAATGATGAGTTTTAACACCCAAGGGAATCCAATTTGGGTACCAAGGGTAACATGTGCACGTCGTAATCACTGAGTTGATTCTCTCGCTTGTTATTAAGATGATACATATGTTATATAACTTGTTCAAGTTTAGGTAGAAAAAATTAAAATAACTTAATTGGATTTGAACTCAAATTGAATTAGTAATCAAGCAAGCCTTAAGCAATAAGCTAAATCTAATATTTGGGAATCAATTATAATATTATATATATTATAGTTAATGATAAAAAATAAAAACGAATAATGAGAACTTACATCTAGGCCAATTTAGAATATGAGAACACTTAAATCACTAAAATAAATATAATAGTTTATTTATAATTGATTTAAGATTTTAATATTTTAAACTAAATTTATTATTTCATATTTATTTTTAATGATTAAATATACGAAATCATTCAAAATAATTTAATATTCAAATTATATATATATATATATATATATTATAGTTAATGATAAAAAAATATTATAGTTAATATTCAAATTATAATCATAATATTGTGACATGTGTTACAATTTGATTGGAGAAATACATTTATTAAATTAAATTGAAATTAGGTTCTAATTAAAAATTAAGAATTAAAGTTAATCTTGGTGATCAAATTGATTAATTCTAAAATCTAGGGGATTTAATTTACAAATTTAATACTGACTAAAATAAAAGATTTTAAAGTTAATGCTCAAATTAAGGCATTAGACAAATTAAAAAAAATTCAGGATCAAATTGGATTAAATGAAAATCCAAGGAACAAAACATATACAAGTAGTGATTAAATGGAAGAAAGCAAAATATAGTTCTAGAGCCACGAATACGTAACTTTACAAGGACCCGTACACTAATTATATCAATTTTATTAACTACCACGTAGACACTCCTGTTAAGTGTTAACGACAAGTGGTTATATTGAGACCACTTAAATAGTTCAATGGTCAAATTGATGAAAATTTAAAAATGATGGTCATTTCGCGACCTAGCCCATAATAATGCGGTCATTTATGTAGTTTACCCTAATTTCTAATAGTTTTATAAAATACATAGTGAACATATTACATTAAAGTAAATATAAAAGTTGTTGTTGAATCAATATTTAAATGTTGAAAGATATAGTGCTTGAATTGATAAAGGCAAAGGCGGGGTTGATGGCTGGATAATAGTTCATCTATATATCATTACTACATATGATAGAATAGAATCAATTCTTTTTTATTTTAACTTATTAAATTTAGGACCAAGTTGACAGAATATATAAGTAACAGTGATCAAATGTGTAATTATACCAAATATTTTAACTATTACATCAGTTTATCCGTTAAATATTAATTACAAGTGGCTTAATTGAATGTATTTAAATAGTTGAGTGACTTGATTGACAAAATTTTAAAAATGGTGGTCAAAATGAAAATGGGTCATAATTAGATAGTCACTAGTATAGTTTACCTTTTATTTTAAATAATTTAAATTAAAAATTTAACTAATTTATAATTATACATTGAGTGTTTTAGAATTTAATTTTTTTATAAATTATATTAATGGTGCTTGTCTTACTCATCGAGCGTAGAAGAATTATCCTATTAATATTCATTAGCACATATCTCATAACAAGTAATTAATAATTTAATATAACTTCTTATCAAATAAATTTATCTACTCTTTAAAATTAGATAAAATTACTGTTTTTATTACTAAAAAATAATAATTTAAAATTTTTATTTTTGATCTATTTTTAAATATTATATTCATTTACTAATGAATTGTGTAACACAAAGACATATTTAGTTCGATCGTGTTTTTTTTTTAAATATGATCGGTCGACATACTTTTATCTTTGTGTTTTTATTCCATAAATGTAGAGGGTACAGTTAGGATTTTATTAAAAGACATGTAATTTTGTCAAACTTTAGTAATTAGAATTCAAAAAAAAATTAAAATGATTAAAAATATCAGATAACGTCTTGGAAGTAAAGTTATTTGATATATATATATATATATATATATATATATATATATATATATTATGATAATCCTAAACTAATAAAAGTAAAAAAATTCTAAATCACAAATTATAAAACCTAAAAAAATTACCATAAAATCCTAAAATAAATAAAATAATCTTCATAGTAATCTAATGTATCACATGTGACAAAAACCTATATAAATGGAAGAGTATCATTCAAGGAAATAATCTAAAAAGGATGTTAGATTAGGGGGGAATCTTATTAGGAATTATTTTGGTGAAAAAAATTATACATTACCACATTACTGACTAAACAACTAAATTATTTTATTTTGGTCATCAAAATAAAAATTTTGTAAATTCAGTCACTATAATGTTACCCTAATTTTATTATAGTTATTGATAGTTAAACTAATAATAAAGGAGTTGGTGGGTAAAATAGAAATATATTATTTCAAATCTTTTCAGAAAGAGAATGGTTGTTTAAAATTAAACTTGATCACAATCCCTTGTAGCGACCCCTTCCCGCTCAAAGGTTCTTTTCCTTGCATTAGTGATTCGGATTACAATGCCTTGAGAACTATTCCTGATGATGCTGAAATTAAAGCGCCCATGTTTGAAATGGCGCCTCTAAAATCTCCAAGCCTCGATGGACTCCATGCTGAGTTCTTTCAGAAAAAATGACACATTATTGGATCAGATATATGTCGTATGGTCAAGTTAATCTTTAATGGTGTCCGAATAGAAGGCTTTTTAGACCGT